CTTTCTGATATTTGGAAGAAACCCATTTTGCCTTTTATTATGCATGAAGACAATAAAGCTGCTATCAAAATATCTAGGTCTGATGCTATTGGACAAAGGTCCAGACATATAGATATAAAGTTTAAACATGTGAGACAATTATTTCAAGATGGATTTATCAAAGCAGTTCATTGCGAAACATCAGAGCAAATAGCCGACATATTAACAAAGCCTTTGCCGTCTAAGCAACATAAATACTTGACTTCTAAATTACATGTCTTATATTGTTCTGAATCTGATTGTAATTGTTGTAATATATCGAATCGGCATTTAGAGGGGGATTTGTCACAAGTAAATGCCTTATTCTCCATTATGTAAATAGTACATGAACAGGGTATCAGGGGTTAACTTATTCTTCACCTCTTAATGTATTCATATTTCACCACTCCCATATCTAGCTCCACCCATTGTATATATAAGGAGCTGCATACGTCCATTCTGTGCTTCTATCTGTGAATATTCAGTGAATATAGAATGCCTTATGTAAATAAACAGTGATTTATTTGAATTTATAATTCTCAACTTATTTATTGAGTCTGATCCTGAAAATATCGTAACAATCTTATTATACAATATCTGTAATTTTGGGATCAAAATTTCTTTAAACTCTTTATAAAATTCTGCTGGTAACCCATCCTCACCTGGAGATTTTCCAAGTTTTAGCTTCTGAATCACATCTTTAATTTCCTCAGAGGTAATATCCTTTTCCATTTTTTCTTTATATTTATTATCAATTTTCTTCTGACCATATTTTTCTAAGAAATTTTTTAATTTACAATTATCAATTTCTTTTTTAAGATATAATTCTTGAAAAAACTTTTTAACAATTTCACATTTCTCTGATTTTTTTTAATATCTCTTACCTTTTTCATCTATTAGGACACCTATTTCTCTTTTTTCTTTTTTATCTTTTGCCATTCTTGCTAATAATTTTGAATTTTTATTACCATATTCAAAAAATTCTCTTTTTAAATAGCTTAATTTTTTTTAACTATTTCTGTATCTTCCGCTATTTGTTTATTTTTCAATTTTTTAAGTTCCTCCCATAATTTCCTATCCTTAGTCTCTAGAAATCTATTTTCCAGTTCTTTTATCAATTTCTTCTTTTCCTCTATTTTTACTTTATAATTCTTATACTTCCTACTTGATAATTTAATACTTTCTCCTCTAAAAATTGCTTTCATTGTGTCCCAAACTGTTCCATAATTAACTTCCCCATTATCATTCCAATCCCAATTTTCTTCCCATTTCTTAAGAATATGATTCTTATCTTCCTCGTTTTTATATAATTTTTCATCATATCTCCAACAATTTTCTTTTTTCTCCAAAAACATATCTAATTCTAATAACAATTCTGCGTGGTCAGAGTCTTTAAATATTCCAACATCCATATTGTCCACGTTATCCATCAGATTCTTGGATACAAAAATATAATCAATTCTTGAATATGAATTAAATACCTTTGAGTGAAAAGTATACATTCTTTCGTTACCTTTAATCTCCCTCCAAACATCTACTACACCATTTTGCAACATCCAATTATCAAGTATCCCCATTTTTCTTATTCCACCATATCGGGTAGGATTGGTACTATCCATCTGGTTTCTAATTAAATTAAAATCACCAGCAATAATTACTTTCCCTACCCTTTCAGTTTGCAACAAATCGGTAATCTTATTCAAAAAATCTTTTTGATTCACATTTGGTGCGTATAAATTAACTAATGTTATTTTTTCCTCGTTAATACATCCTGTTATTATCAAATATCGTCCATCAATATCTGCTATTACTTTGTTTTTTTCAAATTGGACTCTATTTGATATTAATGTTGCAACAGCTCTAGATTTTGAGGACCCAAAAGCTTTTTCATAAACCTGCATCCCTTTTAAATACATCCTGTTTATATCTTCAGATTTCTGATGAGTTTCTTGCATAAAAAGTATGTCAGGAGAATCTCTTTTAATCTTAAATTCTAAACGTCTTCTCTTAATCTGATTCCCAGTACCTTTAACATTCCAAGTCATTACCTTAATTATCCCCATTAATATTTTTAATTTTAACTATTCCCTCTTTTTCCTTTCCGTGACCCAAAACCCAAACAAATATATATAGACAACACATAACATAAAAAAAATAATAAAAATATAAAACATACAAACAACATAAAACAAAAACTAACATGACACACAACCACATAAAATCTTCATCCCCCACCGTCTTCATTAAGACATGCCTCGTTTCCAAGAGTGGGGGAGAGGGGACCCCGTCCATCAGCTGGGTCGTCTCTTCATTGGCATAATTCTGGTTTCAATTGAACAACTACAGGTTCTTCATCCCCGCACTCGGGCTCATCTTCCCTTTTATGTTCAGAGTCCAATGTAATCATCCTTTCCACTCCTTCACCAGTAAGATCTCGACTTTTCTTCTGTACCTCCGCCAAAGATGGAGAAATATCTTTCGTTGGTTTTCTTTTCCTCTTTGGTTTTGGACCTAAACCTCCGACCGCCCCTCCTTCTTCCTCTGGTGTTGATGTATATATTTCAATTCCACCCATTTTGAGTAATTGTGATCTTAATTCACTTTGTTCTTCCTCTTTTTCCAAAAAACCAAGCTCATGGAAGTATTGGACCACATCCGTTTCTATTGTGAGTATATGCATTCTATTTTTATAGAAAAAATTCATTCGCTGTGGTGGTCTCCAATTATACTTAATACCTCTATCTCTTAATATTTTAGTAATTGGCTTCAGATAGTATCTCCACGATCTTTCCTCTCTTGAAATATCTTGAAAGACTTGGACCTGTTTTCCCTCAATCTTCAGCACAGCATCACCATTTTCTCTAATTTTTGCCATTACTTGTAATTTATCATTAACACTCGCAAATCTCACCAAAACATTTCTTATTATTTCACGTTGTCTTCTAAATCCAATTCGATAGACACTTATCAAATCTGTAGTTGTAAAATTTTTATCCAATCCAAGTTCATTAAGCCATTTCAAAACACGTTGTTTAACATTGTCCACTTTTTCTTCCACTATGCTTCTTATAACAATGTTGGACTTCCTAACTTCTTCTTCCAAAATACATATTCTTCTATCCTGTTTTTCATTTTTAAAAAAGATTTCAGTTATTTGCTTATCAATTTTTTTTGTTTGCACTTGTAGTTGGTCTACATTATCTTTTATCACTGTTACTTCTGCTGTGTATTTAGCAAAATTAACATTAATTTCTTGAACAATTTGTTCCAGCTAGTTGGATCTTTCCTTCTTTTCTTCATCCATTTTTAAATGTATTTTTTGAAATTCTGTATCCATTATTTCAATTTTATCACTTAATTTGTTTAATGCCAATACAATTTGAGCTGAGTCAATACTAGCTTGAGAAATCTGTTTGACCTTAGGTCGCACCGATTCATCTTTAGATGGATCCATCTTAATAACTCCTGTAATTTTTGACCAAATATTTCTATAACTTTATTCACAGTTCAAAATCAATGGGTCATCAACTTGTATTTAAGATGTTAAATTATTGTAGAGGAAAATCTTTAATCCTCAATTCTGTACCACAGATACTCGGAAGGGTCTTTTCAGAAGGACTTGGGCATATTTTACTTTCACTTTAAGAAGCCAGAGACGACAAATAAAGCATTAAAGAGTCCCAAATTTAAAAAAAGTTGAAAGTCCAAGTTATTGAAGGCTTGCTTACAATTGCTTCTTGCGCCAGAGGCAGTGTAAAATACAAACAGTGAAATTCCTGTAGTCATGTTAATCAAGATCAGTTACACTCCTCAGCGCCATTTTGCCCTTCTGCGAACTTCAAACAGCAAACATGCTTTAGATTACTTTAAGACTTTTAACTTTTAGTCCACAATTTTCACAGCGTCTTCAAAAAAAAAAGGGATAATTTTTCAAATTTTCAGACGATCCCACAAACAAACCATTTAAATATTCGGCTGTTCCAAAAAAAAGGTTCCTGTTCTCCACATTTATGTCGACTCCAACATTCAGGCAGCTCTCATATATCTTATTTTTATCTTATTCAAACATAGCAATAAAACTTAGTTTGCTGCCCTTCGCCCTGTCGACATCTTTTGCGGATCCAACTCACAGTTAAATTCTAATTTATTGTTTTTCAGACCTCTTTAAATCATCGTCTCGCCGTTTCATCACCCCCTCTGCTCACTTTTATCCCTCAAAGGGAAAGCACTTTAAAAGAAAACCTCAATTAAAAGCAGTTCAGGGTGACTAACCACATCAATCTTAGTCCATCCAAGACAGGAACTCTTCAATAACGCACCTAGTTGTTATCGGACTTCAAAAATGCTGTTTATTTTATTTTCATCCGCTTTCAATTTTCCATATGCCGCAGAGAGACGAAGACAATGTCTTCTAAGCCACAGCCATGAACACGCCCCCATTTATTTAAAAATTTAAACAAAGTTTATCTTTGAACATTTTTGCCAATCTTTCCGGTGACATGTTTTATAGTTGGCACATGTCACCGGATATAGATTGGAAAAAATGTTCAAAGATAAATCAGCTAAATGTTGGAAATGCCACCAGACATCGGGATCGTACTATCACATGTGGTGGACATGTCCAGAAGTGAGAAATTATTGGGCACAATAATCACAATAATCACAAAAACTGATACAGCAACACATTGATCTTAAACCGGAGCTGTTCCTGTTGGGTATCTAACCAGAGAAATTTAGTAGAGAAAATACATATTTGATTATACATGTAATAAAGGCAGCAAGAATGGTATTTGCACAAAATTGGGAAGCAGAAAAAATTCCTACAAAGGGAGAGCTAATTAAGAAAATATTAGAATGTGCAGAAATGAGTAGATTAATATTAGCAATTAGTGGGAAGGAAGAATCGGAGTGTTACAGCATATGGGGGAAATTTTATCAATGGATAGAGACTGAATAGAGGCAAGAGGCAATGTAAAAAGAAATATGGGGGAAATATATTTATTTCATACATTAAATTCACAATACATTAAATTCAAATGTAAGAAGAAAGATAATTATGTACTAAAAAAATGATGATACATGTTGAATATGATGACACGGAAGCTCCACTCATTAATGTAGCTCTGGATAAACTTCCCATCACACCCTTTGTGGTTGTCATGTTGTTTTGTGCTTTTTTCCATCATCCCAGGTGAGCTCCCTCCATTATTTCTGCTTAGGTGAGGCAACTTTTTCTGAATTTCAAAGCAATATAGCAATCCAGGACAAAATCCTGTCTCCCTTGAACGAGTTCTACCAAAACAAAATATTGCCTAGCTTTGAAGGGAAAAAATGATAAGGATATAATAAAGCATACTAGAATATGATATACTGGTATACCAGATTCTGTAACCATGAGGTTCCTGTAATATATATATGCCTTTGCATTTGTATATCACATATATTATGCCTTCATGTATCTCCTGTAACAAACACATTCTGTTATTAGGCCTCTGTAAGGTATCTGGTATTTGTCAAACATTTGTTCCTGCCATTTGATCTGAACCCATATCCATCTTCTTCCTGTTTTTCTCCTCCCATCTAAGAGCATGGTAGGCATCTCAGCTGGAACTCCAGACATCATCATCCGAGGGATAATTTACACTTCAGCCCTAACTTCCACCTTTGATCTGTTCCCTGCAGCCCAGGGGGCCAAATGAGCAATTGGGAGAACAAAGGAAGAGATAAGGCTAATTGGGAGGCTTCTATTCCCTTGCAGGGCAACAAGGAATACACAAAGCTAAACTAGGAGGCCAGAATTGGGTACTAAGCTGATGTCTCTGAGGGTGTAAAAGGATGCCATACCTTCCCCAAGGGGTGCCTATCTCCTCGCATGCATTGTATCTTATGTCCCGGATATAGTCCCACCCAGTATTTTGTTTTTGGCCATGAATAAAATCTGCTTTTTTTTGCAAGCCTCGTCTTGAGTCTCTGTCTTTCGCATTCTGGTGACTCAAGTATATTTTGGGACCTTACAGCTTAATGATGCTGAACCCCCAAAGCACATGACCCTCTTTTGGCCAAGTTCCAAATGTTGAGGGATCCAGCAGTTAAAGGGACCCAGAGAGAAACCAACTTGGATCCTTTCAAAATTGCATGATTTCCTGCTCCCTTTTTCCAACAATGAGCTATTGATTTCTATGAGGAAATTCACCAGCAGGAACCGTTGGCAGGAGATTCGGAGCCTCCAGTCCTCTTTAACTGGAGCTGCTCAGCTTTTGTGCAGGAATTCCTAGTTCTTCTACCTAGGAACAAGAATTGTCCTGGATCAAATAGTTGATGCTGCTGAGAAACACACTTGAGAGAGTCACATGGAGAGAGTATAGTTATTTATTTGCAACCTGCCTTTCTTACTTTTACTGATAAGGTGGAGAACAAATCCAAGAAAATGAAGGGGAATATTTGTAGCTGAGGGTTGCCATGAGGGGTCTCTCTCCCTTCTAGCAAAGATGATGTTAGTTTGGGCAATGAAACGTCTGCAAGAAGAGAAGCCCCCAGGAGCCCCTCCCCCCTCACGTCCAGCACAGCTTCCTCCTCTCTTCCCCCAACAACAACCCTGTGAGGTGGGCTGGACTGAAAGAGCGGCTGATTCAAACTCAGGGTCTCCTAAGGTCCCAGAATAGACCCAACTGGCTCCCCTTCATGGACTGGTATAAGGCTGCAGCCCCAGAAGAGCCCCTGACCTTCCCCTCCCTCAATACGGAGGTGGGGGGGGGAGACCGGACCCTAAAGTTCAAAGGGAGCCCCTCCCTTCCCTCCTCCCCCCCAACGTAATAAAAATAAAATAAATTAAAATGTAATTTAAATGTAATTTAAAAAAAACCATCAAAGAAAAACCTGGGGCCAATCCATGCCACCTTCTCCTTGTCTGACCTCCCAGCGCCTGGGGAAAAGCCGGGTGTTTAAGGGTGAAAGGTTGGAGGCCCTTTGAGAATCTGGCTGGTATCTCACAAAGCTTCCTTGGCCTTAGAGAGTCCCTTTAGCAGTTTCTGCTGGAAGACAAGGGGACCTTTGAGAGAATCCAATTGACAAGAGTTTCTGATGTCTGGGGAGGGTCTTACATGGTATGGACAGTTCACACCCCCAACAATGGAGGCCAAATTAGCCCTAGATTCAGCCACAGCACACTTGCTCCAATGAGGATCTGAGTGGGATGAGCATTTAAAGGCAACTTATTAAGAGTATTGTAGCAAAGAGATCTCCCTCAATGAAAAGAAGGAATCCAGGACGCAGAATCAGGTTTCATTTTATACTCCACAACAGTAGAAAAAGTAAAAAGTTGATTGCATGGAAAAAATCAGTGTCAACAAAAATCTATTTTAAAATATGAAAATCAGTTTTTTTTTAACTTAAATCATTTTTTTTATTTTTATCAAATTCATTTTAATAAAATGCTTTTGGAGTAAAAATCTATTTAAAGATAATTTTCTATCAACAATGGCAGGGAGAAGCTCTTTAACACCCACAACAATAAAGTTCAAATGAGCCCTAGATTCAGCCACAGCACACTTGCTCCAATGAGGATCTGAGTGGGAGGAGCATTCAAAGGCAATTTATTAGAATATTGTAGCAAAGAGATTTCCCTCAATGAAAAGAAAGAATGCAGGACACAAAGAGCGGCTGATTCAAACTCAGGGTCTCCGAAGGTCCCACAATAGACCCAACTGGCTGCCCTTCATGGGCTGATATGAATCCTCCCCCCCCTCCGTCCCACCTCCGCCCCGGACCGTAATAACCGGCGGCACTGCGCAGGCGCCATCTGCCTTGTTGCAGGAAGAAGGACGCTGATTGGTCGCGCTCGGGATGTCGGTGATGGGCAGGAGGACTCCGAGGGGCGGATCCTCCAAAGGAAAAGGCGGAATTAGTGGAGAGAAAAGGGCGTGAAGCCTCCACTTCCGGAAACAAAATGGGCAACAAGGGAAGCAGCCTGAATCAGCGATAGAGGAGGCCGTTTGATGCAGGTTGGCACAGGGGATGCTGGGAGTTGAAGTCCGGGAGGGTCTCTCCAGTGGCCTGGGAGCCTGAGGCCTAGTCTTGAGGGCGGGGACGGAGACGGGAGGTTGGGAGAGAGTCCGTGTCCGCCTGGAGAATGCCTGAAAGGCCCATGGGAGGCAGGGTCTTGGGCCTGGGCCTCCCCTGCGGGAAAGGGGATGCAGCCGTGACCCTCTTCTCTTTCTCCCCTGCAGGAGGACGGAGGATGGCGGTGGATGCAGGAAAGAGGCGCCGCCTGAGAGGAGGAGGAGGAGAGCGGGCCCTGCAGAGCAGCCCTGCCCGGTCCCGGCGCGGCTTCCCCGGGAGACAGAGGGGAAAGGCCGGGGGCTCCGGGGTTGCAGGAGGGAGGAGCCCAGGGGAGGAGGAAACGGGCGGAGACCCCGAGACGGACCTGCAGGGCGGAGGCTCCTTCGGAAGACTCCGAAAGTCTCAAAGGATCCAGGAGGGAGGAAAGGAACATCAGTGCCCGGAATGTGGAAAAACCTTCAAAACAAACGGAAATCTTGAAAACCATTTAAAAATCCACACAGCAGAGAAACCATTTAAATGCCCGGAATGTGAAAAATCCTTCAGAACAAATGGACGTTTTGAAAACCATCTAAAAAACCACTCAGTTGGAAACCGATATCAATGCCTGGAGTGTGGAAAGGGCTTCAGTCAGAGGGGAGATCTTTATAGACATCAAAGGATCCACACAGAAGAAAAACCTCATAAGTGCCTGGCAAGAAAGGTAATAAAATCCAATTAAAACTTTCACTTTTAATAAATTTAATACATTTTTTTCTTTTAATAAATTCCTTTAGTCTTCCAGGGCCATGCCCAGGGTCCCAGACCTGAGTTTGACTGCTGTCGGTCATTCTGATGGCAACTAGCAGAGCAGGCTGTCCTGGGAGGGGCGGGAGGCCTTGTATGAGTCTGGATGGTGGTTCAGGAATGTTGGATTCTCTCTCTCTCTCTTTTTTTATTTAAAAAGTTTTACAAATACATTTTCTCCCCAATTTCCACCCCCCCAAACCCTCCCTAACCCTCCCCTTTCCCCCCCAGGACTTCCACAAAATAAAATCCTAATCAAAAATACATTTTATGAAACTTAAACCCCTCCACCCCCTGTATACTATTTATACCTTCATAAAACTCAATTAATCTATCCCTACATAATACATTCATTCAGCTAAAAGCTATCTGATATTTCCTAGTTTGATATTTATTCTGCACATAATCTATCCACTTTTTCCACTTCCATACATAAGACTCTTGAGTTTGGTCTTTTAAATATGCTGAAATCTTCGCCATCTCTGCAAAACTGGCCATTTTCAAAGTCCATTCTTCAATAGTGGGCATAGCTTCATTTTTCCAGTATTGACCTATCAATAATCTCGCTGCTGTCACCATATACAATATCAGCTTTGTTTCACCCAAAGTAAAATCCTTAACTATACCCAATAGAAACAGTTGTGGAGCAAACTGAAGTTTTTTCTTCAAAACATTTTGCATAACCCACCAAATTTTTATCCAAAAAGCCTTCACTTTCTTACAAGTCCACCACATATGATAATATGTGGCATCTATGCAATCACATCTCCAGCATTTTGGTTGAACATTAGGATACATACACGATAATTTTTTAGGATCTAAATGCCACCTATAAAACATTTTATAAAAATTTTCCCTCAGATTCTGTGACTGTGTAAATTTAACATTCTAGACCCATATTTTTTCCCATGTTTCCAACATCGCTGGTTCTGCAAAATTTTGTGCCCACTTTATCATACAATCTTTAACCAATTCATTTTCCGAATCCCTTTCTAGCAAACCCTCTTAATATGCATTGGACCTTTCTCTCTTATATGTCTAACCAATTCTTCTTCATGCATCATTATACCAGTTTTTTTTATCTTCTTTCCATCTCAGTTGAAGTTGATTATACTGTAGCCAAGTTAAATTAATCCCTTCTTCCAACAGTATTTCTAATGTCTTTAATTGCCATCTGCCCCCATCCATAAAAAGAACTTCTTTGTATAACCCCCCCCCGAGTGACATTATATTTGTATTCCACATGATATGACCAAGATCCAGCCATAATGGTATTTTGTAATCCCATTTGAATCGGTGCTTCTTCCAAACTCTCATCAAAGAGTTCCTAAGAATGCGGCTTTTGAATACTTTATCCACTTTGTTCTCATAGAATAAATATGCATGCCAACCAAATTCAAGATCATGACTTTCTATATTCAATATTCCAGTCTTTATCCTTCCAAACCAATCACTTGCTTGCGTCAAAGCTGCTGCTTCATAATACAATTGTAGGTTTGGAAGTTTAAGGCCTCCCCTTTCTGGAACATCTTGCATAATTTTCAGTTTGACTCTTGGCTTTTTCTCATTCCAGACAAACTTATTCAGTCCATTTTGCCATTCTCTCAATTGCTTATCACTTTTAAGCACCGGAATCATTTGAAACAAAAAGAGAAATCTAGGCAAAACGTTCATCTTAACTGCTGCTATTCTTCCAAGCAACGACAGTTGCAGTTTTTTCCACGTCTCCAAATCCTTTTGTACCTCTCGCCACAACACCTCATAATTATTTTGAAATAATTTTATATTTGAGTCTGCAACTTGTACTCCTAAATATTTAACTTTTGATACTATTTCAAAGCCTGCTTTGCTTTCAAGTTCCTGCTTACGATCTTGTGTCATATTTTGAACAATCATCTTAGTCTTTTTCTGGTTCAGTCTAAATCCTGATATCATACCATATTCTTTTATAATGTCTTTCATCTGAATTATTGATTCCATCGGCTGTGTTAGGGTAAAAACCAGATCATCTGCAAATGCCTTGGTCCTATAATCCTCATGCCTAATAGCTATGCCATGTAATAAGTTTGAATCTTGCATTGTATTCAACAAGACTTCTAATGTTAGAATAAATAACAATGGGGATAACGGACAACCTTGTCTTGTTCCTTTTTCAATACTAAAATTTGTAGTCAGACTTCCATTAATAATAATTTGTGCCATTTGTTGTTGATAAATTGCTGAAACCGCCTGTGTAAACTGATCCCCAAAGTCCATTTTTCTCAAAATCTTTAATAGAAAGTTCCAACCCACTCTATCAAAGGCCTTCTCCGCATCCAGAAACACCAGCACTGCAGATATCTGTAGGAATGTTGGATTCTCAACGGGGCAGCTGTGGACGAGATCCCTGCCTGATCCCTGTCCAAGGGCTGCAGTTGAGGGCTGCTCCAATTGTTAGACTTTGAAGTTAAACTCTGTGCAGCTCCCAGAAAGCCATTTTAAAAACAAAGAAACAAACAAAAACCTGGGGGCCAATCCATGCCAGCTTCTCCTTGTCTGACCTCCCAACACCTGGGGAAGAGGCAGGTGTTTTAAGGCTAAAAGGGTGGGGGCTTTTTAAGAATATGGCTCATATCTCACAAAGCTTCCTTGGCCTTAGAGAGTCCCTTGTAGGGGTTTCTGCTGGAAGACAAGGGGACCATTCAGGGAATCCAACTGACAGTTTCAGATGCTGGGGATGGTCTTAATAGGTCCCCACATTTGGGAAATCCACATAGATTATATCAAACAATGGCAGGGAGAAGCTCCTTCGCACTCACAACAATGAAGGCCAAATGAGCCCTAGATTCAGCCACAGCACACTTGCTTCAATGAGGATCTGAGTGGGATGAGCATTCAAAGGCAATTTATTAAGGAAAGGGATTTTCCTCAATGAAAAGAGGGAATCCAGGACACAAAGAGCGGCTGATTCAAACTCAGGGTCTCCTAAGGTCCCAGAATAGACCCAACTGGCTGCCCTTCATGGGCTGATATAAGGCTTCAACTCCTGACCTCCGCCAGCCTCAATACGGGGGGGGGGATCAGACCCGACCCCAAAGTTTAAGAAGTCCGCTGATTGGTTGTGCTCGGGATGTCGACGATTGGCAAATGGACTCTGAGTGGCAGTTCCTCCAAAGGAAAAGGCGGAACTAGTGGAGAAAAAAGGGCGTGAAGCCTCCACTTCCGGAAACAAAATGGGCAACGAAGGAAGATGCCTGAATCGGCGATAGAGGAGGCCGTTTGATGCAGGTTTGGCGCAGGGGATGCTGGGAATCGTAGTCCGGGAGAGTCTTTCTGGTCCGCATGAGGGGGGGGGCTTGGGCCTGGGCTGCCCCTGCGGGGAACGGGATGCAGCCATGACCCTCTTCTCTTTCTCCCCTGCAGGATGGCGGCGGATGCAGGAAAGAGGCGGCGGCCGAGAGGAGGAAGAGGAGAGCGGGCCCCGGCGTGGCTTCCCCGGGAGACGGCAGGGAAAGGCCGGGGGGCTCCGGGGCTGCAGGAGGGAGGAGCCCAGGGGGAGCCCGGGAAAGGCGGCTGCCTGGAGGGCGATGCGGGGAGGAGGAAACAGGCGGAGACCCCGAGACGGGGCTGGAGGGCGGAGGCTCCTTTGGAAGACCCCGAAAGCCCCAGAGGATCCAGGAGAAAGCAAAGAAACATCAGTGCCTGGAATGTGGAAAAACCTTCAAAACAAACGGAAATCTTCAAAGCCATCTAATTATCCACACAGGAGAAAAACCTCATAAGTGCCTGGAGTGTGGAAAGAGCTTCAGTGATAGGAGCAACCTTTATACACATCAAAGAATCCACTCAGGAGAAAAACCTCATAAATGCCTTGAGTGTGGAAAGAGATTCAGTCAGAGGAGCAACCTTAATAGACATCGAAGAATCCACTCAGGAGAAAAACCTCATAAATGCCTTGAGTGTGGAAAGAGCTTCAGTCAGAGGAGCAACCTTTATAAACATCAAAGGTTCCACTCAGGAGAAAAACCTCATAAATGCCTTGAATGTGGAAAGAGCTTCACTCATAGCAGCGGCCTTTATACACATCAAAGAATCCACACAGGAGAGAAACCTTATAAGTGCCTTGAGTGTGGAAAGAGCTTCACTCATAGCAGCGGCCTTTATACACATCGAAGGATCCACACAGGAGAGAAACCTTATAAGTGCCTTGAGTGTGGAAAGAGCTTCATTCAGAGCAGCAAACTTTATATACATCAAAGGATCCACACAGGAGAAAAACCTCATAAGTGCCTGGAGTGTGGAAAGAGCTTCAGTAAGAGGGGACATCTTTAAACACATCAAATGAATCCACTTAGGAGAAAAACCTCATAAATGCCTGGAGTGTGGAAAGAGCTTCAGTCAGAGGGACATCTTATACACATCAAAGGATCCACTCAGGAGAAAAACCTCATAAATGCCTTGAGTGTGGAAAGAGCTTCAGTCATAGCAGCACCCTTTATACACATCAAAGGATCCACTCAGGAGAAAAACCTCATAAGTGCCTGGAGTGTGGAAAGAGCTTCACTCATAGCAGCACCCTTTATACACATCAAAGGATCCACTCAGGAGAAAACCTCATAAGTGCCTGGAGTGTGGAAAGAGCTTCACTCATAGCAGCGGCCTTTATACACATCAAAGAATCCACTCAGGAGAAAAACCTCATAAGTGCCTGGAGTGTGGAAAGAGCTTCACTCATAGCAGCACCCTTTATACACATCAAAGGATCCACTCAGGAGAAAAACCGTATAAATGCCTTGAGTGTGGAAACAGATTCAGTCAGAGGGGAAACCTTTATAAACATCAAAGGATCCACTCAGGAGAAAAACCTCATAAATGCCTGGAGTGTGGAAAGAGCTATACTGAGCGTAGTAGCCTCAATCAACACCTAAGAATTCACGTGGGAGAAAAATGAAAAACACACCTGAGTGTGAGAAGACCTTCAGTCACGGTGTATCTCGGGAATTGAATTGAATTGTATATTTAATTTGGCCAAATGTGAATAGACACACTAGGAATTCACCTAGTGCATATTCATGATAATTATAATAATTCCAATAAGAGGAATTATTGGTCTTTACTCCAAATGAGTAAAGAAGACAATAAGGGTAAATAATAACTGCCAAATAAGGGACTTTCTCAGGCTGAATAATAAAGGACTGTTTCAATTGTACATGCTAGATGTTTCAACTGGTCTAAATTGTACCTTTTCACAAGAGACATGCCATTTCCCATGTGAATGTTCTTTTAATGCTTATGCTTAATATTATGGGATGTTACTGTCCATGTCTCTGATGTAACTGTAACTTGAGCAGAGTGATTTCTTCCATGCAATCAGCTCTTGTTTTGTATTTTTTTTTCTACTGTATGGAGTATAAAATGAAACCCGATTCTGTGTCCTGGATTCCCTCTTTTCATTAAGGGAAATCTCTTTGCTACAATATTCTAATAAGTTGCCTTTAAATAGTCATCCCACTCAGTGCCTAAGTGAAGCAAGTGTGCTGTGGCTGAATCTAGGGCTAATTTGGCCTCCATTGTTGGGGTGTGAACTGTCCATACCATGTAAGACCCTCCCCAGACACCAGAAACTCTTGTCAATTGGATTCTCTCAACGGTCCCCTTGTCTTCCAGCAGAAACTGCTAAAGGGACTCTCTAAGGCCAAGGAAGCTTTGTGAGATACGAGCCGGATTCTCAAAGGGCCTCCAGCCTTTCAGCCTTAAACACCCGGCTTTTCCCCAGGCGCTGGGAGATCAGACAAGGAGAAGGTGGCATGGATTGGCGCCTGGCTTTTCTTTGTTTTCATTTTCCATGTTTTAATGTGTTGTATTGTTTTTAAAACAGCTTTTGGGGAGCTGCAGTGAGTTGACTGAAGATGGGCAGTTAAAAGAATGCTTTAAATGACTCATGGGGGACCTCTTTGATCCCCCACGAGGTGCAGAGACTGGGTGTCCCCCAGTTGTCAGGATAAAGTCCCCCATTACTAGGCTTTCTCTTCATCAGCTAAATCGGCGTCCGCCTTCCTTCAAGCAGCCAGAGGGCGCCTGCACAAGTCCCGAGTCCCGCGTAGAGGTGAGGCAGGGGGGGCTCCCTTTGATCTTTGGGGTCCAGTCTCTCCTTTGGGGGGCCCTCCCTCCCGCATTCTGACAGGCAGAGGTTGAGGGGCCCTTCTGGGACTGGGACTCCCCCCCCATCCAGGCTCCCTCCCTAGGCAAGGTGGGGGGGAGGTTGGAGGGGCACCCAGGCAGGTAAGAGGCCAAATGGGCATTTTCCCCCTTGCAATACAACTCTGGTAAATTGGCTGCAAATAGAGGGAAGATTTCCCAGAGTCCAGGAGCCCTCAGAAACCAACCCACCTCTTGGAAGGCACCTTCACTCTGATAACTGACAGTAACTGGCAGTTGAGCCTGCATGGGTGAGGTCATGAAGCCCTCAGAATTCCCTCAGAGATGGCAGGCCTCCCTTGGCCTCCTCCCAAGGCTCACCTGCTCCGCCTTTTCCACACCCACCAGTGCCAGGCAAATGTCTGAAGGAGGCGACCAAACCAATCACTCAAGCTGCCCAGTTCTCCTATTTTGGCACAAAAGGCAGATTTTTGATATAGACTGCCTCTGTCAAGGGAAGCTCCACTCAAAAATAAATCCAGGATTCTAGTAAATAAGATCCTACAACTCGCAAATGTGTTTTTAAGAAGCATCTATGTAGCCTCCATTTCATCCAGGACAATTCTTGTTCCTAGGTAGAAGAACTAGGAATTTATGCAGAAAAGGAGACCATCTCCAGTTAAAGAGGAGCTAAGGATGAGAACCTCCTGCCAATGGTTCCTGCTAGTGAATTTCCTCATAGAAGTCAGTAAAGAAATGATGAAACCATAAAAGACATTGAGTGCTTGTGAAGCGCAAACAGAAACATTGATTCTGGATAAAATTCCACATGGACCAATTTTTGTGTCAGTCTTTCCCAGCTGGGTTTGTGTCTTTCCTGGAAGTTGCAGATGTATTTAGAGACACTCGGAATACTCTGTTGTGTAGTTGCTGAAAAAGCAAGTTCTCACATACCAAATAAAGAACCTTCATCAAGAAGGGAAAAAAACAAGCATTCTTAACCTTAAAAAAGAGGCATAGACTGCCATGTTAAAAGGGCTAATATGTCATTTTAAGTTAGTCATTTCAAAGCTGCCAGTCCGTGGGTGGGGGGCTACATCGCAGGGCACACTGGCCTGGGCAGCAGCAGCAGCAGGGAGCCCCCTCCAAAGGGGGAGGGGGTGGAGGAGGAAAATATATGTGTGTGTCAACTGGAGCATCAGGTTTCCAAGGGCTGAAAAAAGTTGAAAAATCCAAATATGCAGGGGTCAGTATTGGAGGGGATTTCCCCTCTGCTGCAGTTTCCAAAGGGGCCCTTCAGAAAGGAGGAGGGATGAGAAAGGAGAAGTGAATCCAGTGTGTGTGTGTGTGTGTGTGGGGGTCTGTGGAGGGGCTGGCAAGGCAGCTGGGGGTGGGGAGGGCCTGGCTGACTTAATCCTCTTACTGTCTCTGGGATGTATTTGCGGTTATCGTTCATGACGGTTGGATAATATTGCCCCCAAACTGTCCAGGTAGTACTAACTAGATCTATAATCAGAATTGAGACAAAAATTTCTGTTCTTGACAGTTACTGCACCCCATTTTTTGCCATAATTGGCAGGTCATATCCTACAGTTGTGAAGTGAATTGTGAAGTTGTTATGCGAATCCTCCAATGACTTTGTGAGACACCAGATGTGAAAGATATCAATACTGATTTATTTTATTTTATTTTTTATTTTATTTTATTTTGAATTTGTATACCGCCCTTCTCCCTGAGGACTCAGGGCGGTGAACAGCCAAATAAAAACATCAAATACAAATATTAAAACACATTTAAAATATATATATAGATTTGGCCCCATTAATTAAAACGATAAACAAAACAAGACAATTAAAAAACCCTTAAAAAGAAATTAAGCCAGCCCGGCTTGTTGAAAAAAGAAAGTTTTAAGGGCACGGCGGAAGGCACTGAGGTCATGGATTTTCCTTATCTCGGGGCAACTGATTCCAGAGGGTGGGTGCCCCCACAGTGAAGGCCCTGCCCCTGGGGGTCACCAGCCTGCATTGTTTGGCTGATGGCACCCCGAGGAGGCCCTCTCTGTGGGAGCGCATGGGTCGGTGGGGAGGTTGTCGGTGGCAGTAGGTGGTCTCAAAGATAGCTAGGCCCTATGCCATGGAGCGCTTTAAAGGTGATAACCAACACCTTGAAGCGCACCCGGAAGACCACCGGGAGCCAGTGCAGTTCACACAGGAGCGGTGTTACATGGGAGCGCCACGCTGCTCCCGTCACTACCCGCGCTGCTGCGTTCTGGACCAGTTGGAGCCTCCAGGTGCTCTTCAAGGGGAGCCCCATGTAGAGAGCATTGCAGTAATCAAGGCGAGAGGTTACGAGGGCATGAGTGACTGTGCACAAGGAATCCGATCAAGAAAGGGCCGCAACTGGCGGATCAGGCGAACCTGATAAAAGGTCCCCCTGGTTACAGCCGTCAGATGTTCCTCCAAGGACAGCTGCGTATCCAGGAGGACTCCCAGATTGCGAGCCCTCTCTGTGGGGGCCAAAGACTCGCCCCCAATAGTCAGTGATGGAGTCAACTGACCATATCGGGATGCGGGAGCCACAGCCACTCAGTCTTGGAAGGGTTGAGCCTGAGCCTGTTCCTCCCCATCCAGATCCGTACAGCCTCCAGGCACTGGGACATCACTTCAAGGGCATCATTGGGGTGGCCTGGGGTGGAGATGTACAGCTGAGTATCATCAGCGTACTGATGGTATCTCACCCCAAAGCCGGATGATCTCGCCCAGCGGCTTCACATAAATGTTGAACAGGAGGGGCGAGAGGACCGACCCCTGAGGCACTCCACATATAAGAGGCCTCGAGGTCGACCTCTGCCCCCCTGCCAACACGAACTGTGACCGGTCGGAGAGAAAGGAGGAGAACCACCGTAACACAGTGCCCCCCATCCCAACTCTTCCAACCAATGCAGCATGATACCATGGTCGATGGTATCAAAAGCCGCTGAGAGGTCTAACAGGACCAGAACAGAGGAGCAACCCCTGTCCCGAGCCCTCCAGAGATCATCAACCAACGCGACCAATGCCGTTTCCGTGCTGTGCCCAGGCCTGAAACCAGACTGGAACGGATCCAGATAGGATGTTTCCTCCAGGAATTGCGGGAACTGTCGCGTGACCACACTCTCAACAACCTTCGCCAGAAAGCGAAGGTTGGAGACAGGA